TGGCCACGCTCGACATTCAAAAGTTTCATGAAACTCCCAGACATCCAAAATCATTTGCCCCAAATCATGAATGCAAGAAAATGTTGTCCAGGATTGTTCAATATGAAATGGTATTGTAATGCCAGCGAGCAGTCAGAGCATATGCAAGACCCGAGCAAAGTTTTGGAGGGTATGGCTGCGCTATAGCTGTCCAGTTTTCTCCCCCCGGCCCTTTGCCTGTAAGGTGAAAATGTGGTTTGTGTGTAAACTCGCAACACCTGCGCCCAGAACACCGATGGTCAACGCGATGGAGATCATCAAGGGGAATATTGCCTGCTAAAATGTTGGTTCGCTTTCTCCAAATAGTTCCATAAGCACAAAAGTCGGTGGTCAGCAAACATGTATGCTCTGACTGGACCAACCTCTGCAAAAAAGGAAGATTCCAACACTTGGAACTGGAGGGGTTTTCAAGCACCCAAGGAATACTGTAGGCATCAAGTACACGTATGAGTGCTGCGCACCTCCTAAAGCAAGCGTTTCCGATGGCTATCTTTTGTTGCTCTGCTGGTGTCAAAAGTGCTCGAGAAACACCCCAAGGCTGTGAACATGTGCGGATCACTTTGGTGCGGTCCCGTGCAACTGAAAAACTGTCACAAGGCGGTGCCATCATCACGGCCAGCACTTTGCCATTTTTGACATCAAGGTGCAAGGCCCGGAGAACTTTGCGGTTGGTCAAATCACACTGGTGGCCATACTTGATGTCCCATTGGCGCGCGACAAAACCTAGCTTTTCGCACGCAGCTGCAACGCCACCTTTGCCCGAGAAAAGATCCGCTACGTATTGCCCTTTGCCAGATCTCTGAGGAAAGCAAAGTTTGGCGGCTTTCTGCGGCCGCTCACGACGTCCCCGAAGTGAGCCTCGCACTGAAGGCAAAAGTCCTTGGTCGCTCTTGGGACTAGCTCCCATGTCTTGGCAAGTCTGGCTGACTTCTCGTAGCGGGCCACGGATTTTGCTGTCTTCCACTGACCTCGCTTCTGAACCTCTAGGGGGGACCTCCAGTCTCGACTGCGGTCGATGCTCGGACCGCTGTGTCTGGTATGGTATGGCTGAAGAGCCAACCCCATTTGGCCCGAGGCTTTCTTGAATGCCGCCAAGTATTGGCCATAGTCGAAGTTCCACAGGCTTCTGTTTGGTTGGCCTTTCTTGAGCGCTTTGAAAGCTGTAGGGCCCCATCCCTTCAGGTAGGGGCTGTTCAGGGAGATCGAGACATCGAACTCCCCCGTCTTTGAAGGCACCCCATGTTCCTCTGCATTGAGAAGCACGCTCCATGAGCCCGTCGCACCAGTTGCTGGCGGGACAAGACCAAATGCCTGGAGGGAAAACAGCTGAGAAGGGCGGCAGTAGGTAGAGAGGCAAATCATCAGGAACACCGACATGAGAGGATATCCCATCTGCTTCAGCGTCACTGCCATCCCACACCACACTGCTAAAGGGTATGGAGTGCGACTGCGCCCTGGGCACAGCTTGCGCCACCCTTTGAGAGCCCGTAACGCCCGCGGCATGCGGCGAGATCCAGCTCGTCCATACTGAGGGTGGTGATGGATCCAACTGGCAATCAGCCTGTCCCCAACGAAGGCTTGGTGCCCATTTAGGAACTGGTGGTTCATGTAGTCGACAAGCGCTTGATCCACCTGGTCCGAGTTGTCGAGGTTGAGGAACCTGGGTTTTGCAAAGCTCATGAAACGAGCGTACTCGCTCTGGTAGATCTTCTCTGTGGCCATTCCGATGGCCTTTCGCTCCAACAGACTCAAGTGATTCATGTCCTTTCCTTCCAGCAAATAGTCGACATACTTCCTCCTGCGATGTTTGGCTCGGGAGTGAAGGAGTCTCTTCCTTTTGTCGGTCGGGCGGATCACATCTGAGCTGCTGTCTGAGCTGAAGCTTTCGTCCTCGTTCAATTGGTCTTCCCCCTCCTTGACCACCTCTTGCTCGAGTCTCTTGGCCACTGGAATTTCGACATGGGCGGTGAAGCTGGCTTCGCTGCTCATTGGTTTCAAGTGGCAAGTCGCCCTTGAAGTTCCAGTCTTCCCCGTCTCTTGTCCTGGCTCCAGGACCCGGATTCTCTTTGCAGTGCTCGGGTTCTTCTTGTCGGAGGGGATGGCCAGGTGCCGAGTGCGCTTCGGAGCCATCGTGGATAAGGTCGGTGAGGAGTTTTGAAGGTTCATCCGTATCATATCTTGAAGGTTCATCGGCGTTGTTCAGCTCGCTTGGCACCCATCTAAAACTAGGTTGAATACCACGACTGATACAATAAGCGTTGAAAATCCTAACTTGCTTCAACAATGTGTATCGACGGCTCCGGCTTCTCTCTAAAGCCAAAACAAGTGACATGTTGTCCAGCAAAAAGAGTTGACGCACGTTGCCCCCAAAAACACTCATTGCGACACGCTTCAACGCCATGACCGCTGCCCTCGCCTCAAGTGTCAGGATATCTTCCTTGTGCTTCCACTTTCCCCAGCGAACTGGTGTCCATTGGTCCTTGCGCAAAAAACGAGCAGGGACCTCTGGGAAGTCATCGACAAGTGCCCATCCACTCAAGCTCAAGAAATCATCTGATTCAATCTCCCCTGCTTTCCACTGACCCGTCAGCTCGTCTCTGACAAAGCCAGCGGATGTGAGTGAAGATTCTCGGGCAGAATGGTTTTGAGTTCTACGGAACCTTGACCTTTCTTTAACACGACCGACAGCTGCTACCTCAGACTTCTTCCAAAAAGATGTACAGACCCCAAAACCTGTAGTGCTAGCATCACTGCAACAAACAAGTTCGTTCCAGGGCCTCCACCAATCAGATCTCAAGAAAATCATCAGTCCAGCAAAGGCCTGCAACTCTTCAATCACAGAATCCCAGGCCACGGCTGCTTCGTAGTAATGCCGCCGGATAAATTTGTAAGTGTTGTGAAAAACTGCCAACAGCATCCTATTGTTTAGCCCACAAAAAGTTGCATGCCCGGTCACAATCTCAAGAGTCTGTCCCGAAAACTTCTTTCGCCGCAACAAACCCCGGATGGACTGTCGAACTCGATGAAACCTTTCAGGACTAACATGTGAACAGAGAGTTTTCCCATTTAGCACTGTCCCAAGCGCCTTGGTTCCACCACAGCTCACTTCCCCAGGATGAAGAAGTAGTCCAGTGGAGCCAAAGTGCCCATCTAATTCCTCCAGAGCTGTCGAGACAACTGCTTGATGAGGGGAAAGGACACCCAAATTATCCACATACACGTAATGCCGAATACCTTGACTGTCAGAGCCCCTGCAAGCCTCACTTTTGAAAACAACTGGTTCTCCTTTGTCTTGGATGAGGGTGGAGCATGCCAAAGTTTTTGTAAGGCTGCATTGGAACTCATTGATCTTCTGGCTAAAAAACAAAGACCAACTGAACCCCATACACAATGAACCTGGCATAGGGTAAACGATGTCATTGGCTTTCAGCTTCTTCCCATCCAAATTCTGTCCTTGCAAGCCCACCCAAGAAGCCCGGATAGGCTTGAGACAAAAATACTCTGCTAACCACTTCGGTTGCCGCAGTCTATGGAAGCAGTCCTTCACATCGCTCAGCCCAATGTGAATGTTCAGGCTTGCGAGCTCTGCCACGAAGTCGTCTGTTCCTGGGAGAGCGGATGGCGACAGCTCACACTCAATGCGGCTGAATCCTTCGCTCGAGCACAATTCAACTCCTGGAGGTTCCTTAAACATCACATTGGTGGACCTGGCGTCAATAATAAGACGTATTCGTTTCCCATCGCTTTTGTGGACAAAAAACAGGCCTACCTGGTTCTTAGGAGACTGTGTGTACTGCAGGAGCCCGATGCTGTCGAGCTTCCTAATAAACTCCTTGTAATGTCGTTTGCTCCTGGCCAAAACAGGATCCCAGTACGGAGGGGGGGTCTCATCCGGCTGGTCATCCCTAAGCATAAGCTCTTTACCTTCCAAATATCGACGGGCGTCTGGCGGCATGAGGTCCACTGCATCGGGTAACCCATGCAAACTCTCTGGCAGCGAGACACGCTCGAGGCTGTAAGGCGCGAGAGCAATAGGAGCGGCTGACTGCTGATAGTCAGAACGCCCCTTGAGCAGCTCCGCAAGGGCTGCCTCAGGGCTCGGGATTTTGTCAAAGCTCCCGATGTCATTGGTCATGTTTGCCAAAATTTGAATTCGTTGAAGCACCTCTTGTTGTAGTGAATCAGGCGCCCCATCTGTACCATGCAAAAAATCACTCTTTCCAGCAAGCCAGTTGAGGCCTCGGATGGCCTCATTGGTGGTCTCACGAACTCGAATCTTGCGATCCCATCGCTGGGCTGACCTCCGAGATAGCTTCACATCACGTGTCAATCTCGGCAACTCAGGCAGTGGAAAAAGATCACGAGCTCTCTTCGAATGTTCCGGCCTGCCACCTCCCAATGCTGCGAGCTCAAGGTGATCGGCCTGGGAGGACAGCCAACCACCTTTCCTTGCGCTCATGAGGAGGCCGGTGGAGCGAGGGGCTTGGCTTTTGCCTTTCGTTTTGGCGCCAAGCCAGCTCCACCGGCTGCCATGCTTCCATCTGCTACAGCTCCTGCGGCCTCATCCATTGGGACAGCCAACTTCTTGTACTCACGGATTTTGGTCCTTGCTGCGGCCAGTTCCACCTCCTCTTTGCCTTTCCGGGCAGCCCACGATCGAAGTGATGGCATCACCACATCTTCAGGGCCAGCGTAGCCCGAGATGATCTTTGCTGCCCCCCAGTCTGGGGAAGTGGATGAGCCGCTGTTGTAGGCGTCCACTATGCTCTGGACGCGCCGACCTACTGATTCCATGCTGGCAAGGCTGGTCAGGTTGAGCTGGTCGTAGCAGCCCCCATGTTCGAGGACTTCCATAAGCGCTCGCATTTCATGCATCACACGATCATTCTCTTGTATACCCTTGAAGCGCGCCCAGGATTGAAGCCATAGCTTTGGAGAGCCCCCATGCTTGTGCATGTGTTTTATCAGATGCAGCACGCTCTGGGGGCCTTCGTGAGGCCAGTCTGGGTAAGCATATTCTCGACACTCTCTGCACACATCGCGCCACAGCTTGAAGCGCTCACCTTGGTCATCGTATTCCACAGCAAGCGTTCGGGCATCTTCTGCTTCCTGCGCCTCATCTCCAGGAGCTGCCGGCTTCTGATCCGGCTCTCCAGCAACTGGCCCAATGTCTTCCTTGAGAGAGGCACGGTTCTTCTCGCGGAGCTCTGACACAAAGTCGGGGGATTCAGCGACCTTCACTAGCTTGCACAAAGTCCAGCCCTTAGGGCCTTCCACTGCGCAAGTATTTGGACTGAGCAATACCGACTGCGCAAGACTATCAACAACCTCAGCGCCCAACTGAAAGTCCGGAGTTGAGTGCATGGCTAACCAAACCTTTCCAGCTGGGGCTGCATCAGCCCTCTGAGGTCCACGGCCTCGTTGCGACTCCTCTTGTTCAACTGGCAGCTGTAAGTGGCCTTGGTCCCTGCCTCGAACCCTTCTTGGGACCAACAAACGTCCCAAGTATTCGGTTGCCTCCACCTTGTCCCCATTCATGTTCATGGCATGTCGTGGTTGCCAACCCAGGTCAGTCCTTCCAAGCAGCCCCAAGTCTCTCAAGGCAGTCTCAACATGCTGCTTGAACTCGGAGTCGGTGGGGTATTCCCTAAATCTGTAAACCGGTCTGCGAACCCTGGAGAAGAACTGGAAATCTACCCCTTTCACCTGAAAAGTCAAAGGGCCATTGTCAGAATCACCGGAGTAGTCCTCAGCATAGCAGTCTCCATCGGGGGTCAAAACATACCAAGTCTTGTCATCTACCCTCCAAACCAAGAGTCGTTCATGGAAAACATCATCATCAGAGTACCAAGCAAGCACGGTCTGCCCTGGCAGGCATCGTGACAACACCTCCTCCACGTCGTCTCGGGCTTTGGAAAGGTTCATGAGTCGAAGAGCGGCTGGTCCAAATGCACTGCCAGCAGGTCAAGGCGAGAAGCCCCAGAGCAAAGCCAACTAGAACACCTGGTAGGGCCTTGTCTGTTCCCTCACACTGACAGTCACACTGACACCAACAGGTATGGTTCGACGAACAGGTAGGCAACGGAAGATCTGGGTATCGGGGGTAGTGTTTGAACCCAGCTTCCAAGATTCGAGCGACCCACAACAACGCGAGGGCACCCGTACCTCCCATTGCGGTGCCTACCTCCCCCTTCGCATCTTGAGCCCACCACCCATGTGGAGGAGCATATGGTGGTGAAACACACGTCATCCCAAGTGAACTGTCATCTTTCAATCTTCATGTGAACACACGTCCAAACGCAAAAAAAACACAGCGATTCAAAGGCAGCCAAGAAGGCGCTTGTGCCAAGTCACGTGTATGGGTCATCGGCTCCAAAGGTTCGACTGCATTCCTGCTCAAGTCAGTGTGGGAAAAATGAGTGCTGTTTTTGAGCCAAAGAAAGTCGCTCTCAAACCGGAACAGTTGCTATATAAGTCTATAGTATCTTAGTATATGTATGTAGTAGGGGAGCCTCGGAGAAAGGGACGACGTAGTAAATCGGTTACTTTCTAGCAGATCAGCGTTCTTGTACCAACACTTGCAAAGGAGTAAGCTTTCTTGAAGAACCGAGTAAAGGGACGCTACTAGGGGCTCCTTTCATCGCTACTAGAAGCAAGGACGCTGCTAGGAGCAAAGGGATATTTAATAAAGGGTAAGGGCACCTCCACGGCTTGTCGAAAGCAGGGCTCGGCCTGCACGAGGCAAAGGTTTTCAGACGGAGGCCACAAGAATGGCAAAGTGCCTCAACGGTCTTAGGGTGTCTTTGGAAAGAATATAAACAAGAAGCATCATCTAGAATTGAATCTATACAAGAAAAAAGCAGGAAAGGTCTGACTAAAGGTCCAAAGAAACCTAAAGGTCTAGAGTCTAGATCGCTGGTTTTCCAAAAAAACTAGGAACAGTTTTGACCATACGAATTGTTCTTTAATTGCTTTGTAGCTTCCTTTTCCTTTGATCAATTTTTTGACCTTTTTTCCTTTTCCTTTCATTTTCATGTGGTAGTTTCCTGTTGCTCAGTAGCTTGCTGCCTTCCTATCCTCACCTTCTCCCGCTTTTATGGCCTACTTCCACACTCTCAAAGCCATTTACATATAAGGTGCCATTCTGAGAAAGAATGAAACACATGCTGATAGCTTCTTGCTGTGACACATGACCTAAGTGACCTGCTCTCCTTATTTCCTCGCTTTCCTAACCCTCGCCTGCTGTAAGTTGCTTTCTTAGCGTCGTCGTCATCGTCGTCGTAAGGTGAAAGAAGTCAATTTGTGCCGCTTTACTATTGTTACTACTAGTAAGGCACTTGTTACTACTAGCGTCCTTGTTACTACTAGGAAGGCACCTGTTACTACTAGCGTGGCACTTGTTACTGATCTTTATTGAATTTTATTGGTGAGTCCAGGTTGGTTCTCAACATGCGGAACAATCTAAACAGTCTACACCCTTCTCCATAAGCTCCAAGGACATGTCGCCCGATTCGATATCACTCTTCTCTTGCTTCTCTGATCCGCCTCAGACATACGGCCTGCTGCAGCCAGCAGGGACCCCAGCGTCACCTGGCAGGTGTAGTTCTATCGCTGGGTAGGCTCGGAGCGCAGCAAAATGTGCACGACGTCATAGACTATTCTTTCTTCCCTTAGAAGACTCGATCCTTTACTTTGTTTTCTTCCCCTTTCCTTTCCTTCCTTGTCCTTCTTTGTTTCTGTTTAGGTTCGAGGTTCAAAATGGGCTCTCGAGCTGTCTATCGAGAGACGCTATAGGACACCATGGTTTCGACCTGCTCCTCTGAGGGAAATACTTCTCACATCTCGTTCTTTCTTTTCCTAGCAGCGTCCTTGCTCCTAGTAGCGATGCCAGGAGCCCCTAGTAGCGTCCTTGCTCCTAGTAGTAAGGCCAGGAGCCCCTAGTAGCTTCGTGTCCCTATTAGCAATGGCCTCCACCTCTCGTTCTTTCTTATCTCATCTCTCGCTTTTGAACGAAGGAAAGAACTTCATCCTCATCGCTGTGGAGTGGACCAGCTTCATGAGCAAATGGAGAAACCCGCTTCATAGCTTGGTTGATAAAGGTTAGCAAGTTCCACACCATTCTCAGGGATCGTTCTGACAGCAAACTGGCTCTTAGGTTGGAGGCCATGGCTATTAGATTGGAGAGGCAGTGTCGAAACATTCCTTCTGATAGCAAAGAATGTATGGCTTTCCAAAACGATAGATTCCGATAGATCTTGCACTTTAGATTATTAAAGGAGCGTGGTGAAGGTGATCCTACTGTGGGCGGCCTCAGATGGTCTGCTAAGGCGCGAAAAAATGAAAACAATCTAAGTTTCCCTAAAAATCTAGGAACCAAACCATTTGCTCGAGCTATCCTGCGTCCATACTAAGCTTTTAAGTAGCTGGTAGCTTACTCCCTGTTGCTTGATTAAGTAGGCGCCTACTTCGTTAAGTAGGAGCGGGCTAGAAAGAAAAAAGGTCTTGGCTTGGCCCTAGTCCGTCTTCGTTTCTTCTCCTCTTTGTACGGACTTTCTGAAAGAGTTCCTTGCAAATTGGATTTTTGCAAAATTAGGATCGGGTGGGCCGAGCAACTGAAACACAGTGCCAGGGTGGCCAAGGCCCTCATTTTCTGCGGATTGTCTTTGGAGTGCTGCATGTCCTGATCCACATGAGCCAAAAACGGATTGCAGTAAGTCTCTGTCAAATACCATTTGTTGTTTCTAAATGCTGTCCTCTTCTCACTTGCAGCAAGTAGTGGTACATTTCCTAAAACAAGCCTAGTAAGGGGTACTTCAGACATTGTTTTGTGGTAGTGCGCATGTTCTTGTTACAATCCCCCTTGGCTTCACAGTTGCGACGAGCATAGCGTTCATAGCTTAGCAATTTCCTCTGACAGTAGACTCTTTAGAGTTGATTCTCTACCACTGTGTGAAACTAAACCATTATACTCTACCCGTACCCCCATGGAGCTACTCTACCTTAAAGTCTACCCTTATTTTTGTTGAGGTCCCCCGCACTTTGTGTTTGACTTGCTCCTAAAGATTGATTTACATTGCTTCTTAAGGACAAACAATAAAGGTGGACTTTCCTCCAAACAAGGCTCTAGTAAGCTCTAGTTAAGAGTCTACTTTGGGAATAGTCAAGGGTTGACTACTTCAGCCCCAGCAGTGCCCATATGCAAACGGATGATTCCTAAAGAAAGGACGTCAGTTACTGATAGAAGCAGCCCCAATTCATAGCAAATCATAGTAATCATAGCAATAGTAAGATTTGTTTGAAAACAACACTTTTCTTTGAAGTCTCTGGCAATCTGAACTTGTCAGGGCAGGTGTAGTGTAGCACCCACCACACTGTGCGAATTGATCTAAAAATTGGCACACTTGCGCTGCAAAGAAGGGGCACTGGCCGGTCGAATTGGATGATTCTTGTTGATCTTGGTGTTGCCACAATATCAAATTCAGTGCAAGTTCCATAAAATCATAAACTTCTAGCACTGAGTGATGATCCTGATTTGGTCTTCAAGCAAAATATTGTTCCATGCAAGCTGTGAAATGTGTCCATTGTTTCGGGTATTGCTTCAATTTCGAGGAGTTCGGAGAATTCAACTGAAAACATAAGACTTTGGCACTTGAAGATCCTGAAGATTGGCACGAGTAACAAAGGTGATCCTGCACTGCATATATGTGTATGTTGCTGTTGTAAAGTGTATTGCTGCATGACTGTTGCTGCCAGATCTGCAAGTGTACAGGATTCAATGTAACAAACGAAACATCGGCCGCATCGTGTCACACAAGTAAATCTGTATCTAGTCCCTGCTTAATCACTCAACCCCTGCCGTCTCTTCTACCGCGGCTGAGACTAGCTAGACTTACAATGGTCCTTCTCACTATGATCTGTCCACTTGCATCAAATGTCAAAAGAGCCTCTGCAGGGAGGCCGACTTTTTCCCCAAACTGTGTGCTCTCTCATGCCTGTGCTCTCATGCATGTGTATGTGTGCGTGCTGGAATGCGGAAGTTTGCGTATTATTCACCCTTCTCTTCTTCTACTGATTACTGTTTGGGTTCTGTTGACAGGATAATTTGTTGCAACCCGTGTTGCAGTTTTGGGAGAATCAACTGAGGATGCATCAACTTAGGACATATTCGTTTGAGGCTTCCGATCGTGGCTCCTGCGAGCGTGACAAGAGCTCCTTGCACAACTGCACGGCTTCATCGAGTTTTCCTTCAGCCTGTGCAAATTGCGACTGTGCAACGTCTGTTCAAACCTTCAAACAAACAAAAACTTGCAAAACAAACTTTGAACATCAAACATCGCAAAGTTTCCTCACTGTTCACTCTGCTTCTTCAGGCTTCAGGTGCTTTCTTTTTTGAAACCGGCTCAAAGTCCTGTACATGTGTGTTTGTGGGAGACTGGAGTGCGGGGCATATCGCCTCTCCACATTTGTGATTCATCTGTGGGATCGCAGCGAATTGCAGCGAATCGCGTCAAGCAAAGTGAAGCTCTCCTTCCACCGACTCGTCTGCCACCCGGAGATCTAGTTGGCCGGTGCCCAGAGTCTCCCCAGTGGCCAATTCCACCTTGGAGCCCGGTTTGAAGGCTGGAAGCCCTCGATAAGGACAAGTCTCGCATCTGAAGGCATCACCAAGGTAGCAACTGCCGCAAGACGATCGCTCCTTCCCTTGTTCCAACCTCTTCTTTGCCTCTTCCGCACCAAACTTATCCTCGAGTTCCTTCCGCCCACAAGAGCAGTTGGCACAAGCCTTCGGCTGCGAGCTGCAGTCGCTCTTTCCTTTGCCCACAGGGGCAGGCACATCTTCCAAAAGCGTATCCTCATCAATGGTCGCCGCTCCAATGGGTGCTGCGCTGGCCCATGTTGGTTTGGAGCAAGTGAAGTCCACCTCCACCAGCGGAGACGCACCAGAAACGTCAAACAAGGTGTCGACAGCACCTGCGAAGAGACCCACCGTGTCCAACTTGGAAACCTCCTGCTCCATCATTTTTGCTCGTGCAATAACATGGCCACCTGGTCTGAGCTTTGAAAGGCACAGCTGAAGAAAGTTGGAGTCCAAGGTGAAGTACTTCGGGTCGGAGGTGAAGGCAAAAACGACTCCGTAATCGCCTCGTGCCTTTGACAACTCCTCTGGAGAGACCATTGTTGCAACACCTAGTGGCAAAGATCGCCAGTACGCCTCTGCCTTGTGGGCAGCAGGATCCTTTGATGACACCACCACCAGAACTCGTCCTTGAGTTCTGAAAAGACCTGAAAGGAGCGCCATATGGACGCCCTGCTAACCTTTGCGAAACTTCTGAAAGCGAATTGCGAGCTTGAGCCAAATTGTCACTATGTTCACCAATGTCAATCCGCGTCTCGCTAGGAACAAAACTAATAGCGATGGCCTCCAACCTAATAGCGATAGCCTCCAACCTACTCTTGCACGTTTGCCTTAGCCAAGCCTGCCTCGTTTAGTGACCAACCCAGCCTCAAGGATATCAACCATGCGCTCCGTGCAATCAAGGGTTCCTTGATGATTCCACCTTACAAGTTGCGACGAGACCAAAGTTGCACGAAAAGAATAGAAAAGAAAGTAGCTTCTTGTTACTAGTAGTAACAAGTGCATCGCTAGTAGTAACAAGTGCCTTACTAGTAGTAACAAGAAGCTAATAGAAACAATAAGCTAATAGCTACTTGCTCCTAGTAGTACGGCCAGGAGCCCCTAGTAGCGGTGTCTGATGAAGAAAAGGAAGAAACAGATCGCAGGCGTCGCATCACAAAACAAACGTGGCAAACAAGAGCCGAACAAAAAGGAGACCATGGGAGACCCGCAAGCTGTGAACCTACCTGCAAAACAAAAACGTCTAAAAAGATTTTGAAACAAAACGGTGTCGGCACCTTCAAAGAAAGGGACTCTGACCTTCTTTTTCGTCATTTTTTTGTTTGGACGTTTCTGCTCTTTCCTTTCTTTTGTTTGGCACCACAAGTCTCTAGACCTAGCTTGCGTTTGTGGAAAGGAAAGCGAGGCTTGAAGAGTGCTTTTTGCTTCAGGCGGGACTCTGTCTTGAACCCTCGCTGTAGGAAAATGTCAAAATATGGGAAGACTAGTAAGGGACGTGGGTGGCATCTAAATCGGCGAGAGTAGCACCGGCGTGTAGTAGCCTAGTTCTTGTCGCTTGGCAGCATCGGGATAGCATCATTACGGAGCAAAGGAAAGACGAGACAAAAGGCAATTAAAATAAGTAAGAAACATGACATAACCAATGTAAAATGTAAACATCAAACGGCAAGCTGCTTATGTCGTGTCATCGCTTCTATGAATGCTCTATTCCAAAAATTCTATAATCTTCAGGTCCATAAAATACCAAATTCCATCATTCAGTTCCAAATGGTCGAACATCCGATCTGTGTGTCACCCTTTACTCTTAGGTTGAAGGCCATCGCTAGTAGTAACAATAAAGCTACTAGTATGTCTTTGAAGCTTTCTGGTATCTATAGAAGCTACTAGTAACAAAGGGCATCGCTACTAGGAACAGGAAGCTGCTAGTAGCTCCTGGCATTACTACTAGTAACAAGGACGCTACTAGGGGCTCCTGGCCTTACTACTAGGAACAAGAAGCTATTAGGGGCTCCTGGCATCGCTACTTATCGCTACTAGGAGCAAGGACATTACTAGGAACAAAGGCCATCGCTACTAGGTTGATGCAGCTTCGGCACCCAAAGCACTCCACGCAACCATCCCGGGCTTCGGTGAACGCCTGCAAACGAACCGAGCAAACGAAAAACAGCAACAACTTAAAAAGAAAACACACACACACACATCCTTCAGACATGTAGCTAGTAGCCTCGTTGCTGCTAGTAGCTACCTACAGCTACTGTAGCTGAACCAACTCGCACCAGCTGAGACTTCCAACCTCTCCTAGCTGAGACTCACTAGCTAACTTCTCCTTCACAATTTAGATTACCAGAAAAGGACGGGGAAACAGGGGGTAAGCCAACTGCTGGAGTTCCAACAAATATCACGCATGCCTGCCAAGCTTCTGCCAGCTGATTGTCGTAGAGGAGAAAGCACTTAGAACAGGGGCAAGCAATTAGGATGGACAAACAAATGGCAAGCTTGAATGACACGGCCAGTTGCTGGTTCCTTGGGTGGTTTTGCAACACAGTACTCATAGCAAACACATGTGGAGACAGTATGACTCAGTATCATGTTGCAGAACACCCCTACACATCCTGCACAGCCCTGACTTCTAAATCTAATTCCATGTGCACAAGAGTGTTGCAGCTTGAATATCACATGCAAATCCTTGCATAATCAAGGAACAAGGACGCCACTAGTAACAACGGGCATCGCTACTAGTAGCAAGAAGCTATACTAGTAGCTCCTGGCAGTTTCTACTAGGAACAAGGACGCGTTCCATCATCTTTGCAAGGCTTTGCCATCTATTGTGATCTTGGATCCTGGCTGCCAGATTGTAGGTTGAATCCAAGGTGTATGGGTGACTTGGTCCGAGCCTTAAAAAGCCCAATGAAAAGTTGCGGTTTGAATAGATGGCATTGAAAAGGCTGTCAAAAGCGATTCAAAAGCTTCACACTGTTTTGGTACAGCGAAAGGCGTTTGGCTGCGCATCTGCTGGCATGTGCACATGCCAGACCAGACTCAATGAACTGGACAAAGACACATCATCTTGTATTCATCTCCTATGTCATGTAAGAACCGGAAGCAAAAAAACATGTGGACAAGTAGGGTGGAGGCCATCGCTAGTAGGCATCGCAGGCAGGTTGGAGGCCATCGTATTAGGGTGGAGGCCGTCGCTAGAAGGTTGGACAAATGCAACCAGTCAGGCAATGATCCTGAGCTGAATCTAGGGGCTGTGGCTACAGGAGTGGTTTGTGGAGACCTAGGATCAATCGAGTTGTTTTGTTGTCGGCTCCATTGGTTGGGAGATGGCGATTGGGCTCAGATCGCCAACCTAATAGCGATGGGCGCCAAAAGCAAAAGAGAACAGAAAATAGAAAGAAAAGATATCAAAAGAATAAATTAATAGGGATCTCACTCTCTTGGAAGTGCACTGCCTCATTTCGTGATGACCAGCTTGATGTTCCCTTAGGTTGGAGGCTTTAGGTTGGAGGCCAATGACCAGTTTGATGGTTTTTGTGGGGCAGTCGCTACCTCTCTGGCAAGGTGAGGTCGTCTCGGAGTTGCAAAATGAGCGGGCCAAGGCGGCCAAGGTTCTCCGATGTCGCTTTCCTCCCCAGCATCTTGCTTAACAAGAAGCTACTAGTAACAAAGGGCATCGCTACTAGGAGCAAGGACGCTACTAGTAGCTGCTGGCTAGGAACAAGAAGCTACTAGGAACAAAGGGCATCGCTACTAGGAGCACCTTATAACATCGCTATTAGGTTGGTTGGAGGCCGTCGCTAAGTTAAGTTTCCCTAAAAACATTCAAGGAAGCTCCCCCGCTGCATCCTAGGCAGTAGGTATTACTAGCGACTCTTTAGCTTCTACTAGCTACCTGGCTACTACCTCCTCTACGGCCTACCCCCCCTTTAAAAACATGTATATATAATACATATTGTGCCTTTCTTTTATTTTCTCTTTTTCAACCACACCACCTTCAGCTCTTCTAAGATCTCAGCTGTTTCAAACGTCCATCTCGGGCCCAACGATACAAACCCAGTGCCTCGAGGTGACGGAGGTGAAACAGAACAGATGTGCGAACCAATTGATTGTAGGGGCAAATAGCTACTAGTAGCTTCCTGTTACTATATATTAGCGATGGCCTCCAACCTAATAGCGATGGTAGCTTCTAGCTACTAGTAGCTTCTTGTTCCTAGTAGGGTTTTCTCAACAACTTAGTACATGTTCAACTAAGGGGGGGTATCCTGTGAAGAGGTAAGGTACATAATATCGGGCCCTAATATCGGGCCCTTTTCTTTTATTATCTTCTTCCAGTCTTCCTTTCAAAGGCACTGTACTTCTTCAAGTATACATGAAAAGACGTCCTTTGACCTTGAGTCTTCTTCTCTTTTTGAGATCACTTTTCCTGTTTCTTTATCAATTCTTGCTTTGGCTTTGATGCTTTGACCCTTTTGCAAACTACAAATTCTTTTCTCTGGCCTCCTCCTTCTCTCCAATGTTGTCCAAGTAGACCTCAACAACCCGTTGCAATGGCTGCGATATGGCAATTGATATTGATTGTTTCGAAACGTGTTGGACACCCCCTGCATCTCTACTAGTAACAAAGGCATCGCTACTTTGGAAACCCCCTTTCTTCCCCTTTCTGCCTCCTTGCGGCATCTTGCCATCTGGGCCGCTGGCGGCCAAATTGTTCACAGTCGTCAAGGTCTGGAGGTCATCCTTTCCGAACATTTCGATGGATCCTGGAGCAAGGACGAGCAAAGGGCATGGCTACTAGGAGCAAGTAGCTGACAGGAGACCGACTGCTATCACATTGCGGTGTCACTTCATCGGGGCACTTGTTCCTAGTAGCTTCTTGTTACTACTAGTAAGGCACCTGT